AATGGGGTCTTCAGAACAGTTGTAGAGAATCGAGTTATCTACCTTAGAGTTTTTGAACTTTAGTAATATCATGTCTATAGCTTTGGTTATGTTGCATACACTGAGGACCTGTCAAGCTGTATGTCTTCATTTATCCATTGCACCTATGTTTTGGATGTTTGTTGTATTAAGTGCATTTAAATGATATTATCTGCTTGAGTTTTCTTCATGAAAGTGATAGAGGCATGAGTTAGGGATATTTTCCAAGTGGTTTCATCATTATATGATTTGTAGACTGAAAGCTACATGTATTTTAAATTCATCTCGCATGCTGAAAATTGGTGCAAGTTCATGTTTAGGTTTCTAAATTGAGTTGTAATGTTTAAAAGCATATTTATGTGGCATAACTTAACCATTTCATTATATGTGATGTTTATATGATCCTTCAATGTTCTAAGCATTAAACGTTAAGCAATCCAAGATATCCACCAACCGAAAAGACTTATACATAAAACATTTCAAAGCAAGGCGAACAAGGCAAAGCCAAGCGAGCTAGTTTTCAAAGCTTATGTATATGTATAAGACTAGTGCGTTTAAGTTAAGCCTTGATAAGATTCTAAGACATGTCCCAACGAAATGTAGTTTTCAAGGAATCGAGCCTCACTCTTTTTCAAGTACAAGCCAAAGTCGAGCATTTCGACCAGGTGGGTTTATTATTCAAAAATTGTCTATGCCTTGACATGTGAATATGTTTACTTACTTGGGTATGATCAAAGTATGTAATGTGAACATGTAACCTTCACCGTTAGTAGTGCCGGCCATCAGACGGTACCCTCGTAGTTATAGAACATACACCGAGTGGGTAATCTCCTTTTTGTCCTTCACGAGGACCTTGCTCGGTGATGGATTTTCGGACTAAAACCCTCGGGGTTGGCAGATATGTCTAATACCCTCGGGATTGACAGTGGATTTTCGTCTAAAACCCTCGGGGTTGACGGGTGACCCTTCTACTTTGGCGATGTTAGGGTTACCGCGGGGAGACGATACGTGGACCAAATGTAGTCTATTCTGATAGGTGTGCACATGAGATATAATTGACTCTGGATAGGAGATGGGAAAATTTATTGTCTATATTCATACTTATGACCATGCCATATTTACTTTTTGTACTCCCTTATTATAATTGTTCATGCGCATAGCGGTGAGCACAACGAATTCCATCTGTTCTCATCCTGACCAGTATTTTCATGAATACAGGTTGAGTCGGCAGCTGCATGGCGGCGAGAGACGAGTGGTGGTCGGTCGTTTGACCAGACCTCATTATGTAGCTTCTATTTTGCTATATATTATTATTATTTTTGTCATCCTGTTGAACTCGGGATTTATGTTGTATTTAAACCTGGGTTTTATTTGCATGATTTTGACTCTGGGTAATTATGACATTAGATTTTGAACTCTGGATTATCTATGATTTGAGAATTCGAAAACTGGTTTGGGGTTCGGAACTTTGTTTAAAACCCTTTGAGGATGTTTCCAATTTGACTCTGGATATTCGATGATTTTTAAATTACTTGCGAGTAATTGATATGTGAAAGTTCGTAAATGTTGATTATATGTCGAGTAACGCCAAACGATTTATGAAAAGAAAAAATTTTCATTGACATTTTGAAAAGTCCTTGACTTTCATCAAATAAAAGTGGGGCATTACATGCGTAGTGGTCGTGCGATGCGTATGCTGGCGATACGCATCAGCCGAGTGATGAGGCGCGCAGGGCAACGACGCGCGAGGGGAGGTTCGCGCGAGAGGATGCAGTTGACCAACACCGTGTTAGAGGAGGATACTTGGCGTTCCAATCAGATTGGATGTATTCTACTTGTAAATACAATCTATTGGAATTATATTAAATAATAAGGCATTACTTTATTTTAAGAGTAAGCATTTATCATATATTTGC